CCCCGATGTATAACTGGTCGCAGTCCTCCTGGCACTTAACAGCATATACAACATTGCTATATACACTAATGTAAAAGAAAAGTAAGCTGAACGCAAGCTAAAAATATCAACAGCTAAAAAAATAACAGTACACTAGAGAAAAATAGCAAACAGCAGCTAAAACTGAAGACTTGTTAAATTGTCGAAATCTAGCTAGAGATTAATATAGAGCTAAGCTAGCTTAAAGCTAATTGTAAACCAATGGTAACTATAATTTAAACATATCAAAAAATTTGGTAAACTAAAAGAAACAAAATGCTAGCTAACATCATCAAATAGCAGCTAAGATTAAAATAACATTAGATCAGAGAAACAGTAAAAAAGTGATTAAATGTAGCAAAAGATAAGAAAAAAGCTAAAAGTCACAGAAGAAAAGCTGAAAGTAGCAAATGTGTGGCAGCCAAAAAAAAAAAACATGAAATTGATGGAGATGTAAAATTAAAACAGCGTTAGCATAAAGCTCTAGAATGTTTTTAGCCTGAAGATGTTTTGTTACTGTTAGTTTTTCTGTGAGGTCATAATAAACTCCATATATTTTAATAAAGCAGTTAAAGAGTGATCTATAGCAGTTCAGTTATATTCATTTTATTTATGTAGAAGCAAATCACAACAACTGTCTCAGTGTAAACAAAAAACAATAAATCTAAAGAAGCAGCAGATTGTGGTAATATATTTATATTTTAWATGTTATAAAGGTAACGTATTTATTTACGTTTCATCTGAACTCATTTAAAATGTTTAAAGTTGAACATGAAACACGTTTCGACTGAACCTAAAAGCTGTTGGTGAAATATTCGGAGAATGTCCCTGACWGCAGGACGGTTCTGTCCCGGGTGTGTCGGCTTGGTTCTGCTGGTTTTGACACTCTGACAGAGTTCTGCCCACAGTCTGATTACGGGTTATAAATCCATCTGTTTTCAGATTTAACAAAACAAAACAAACACTGCCATGCTGTTCCTGTTTGACACGAATCCATGGAAACTGGAGCCATTGGATTACRTGTTCTGTTAGCGAAATATCAATATTTAAATCACGTTCACAACACATAAAATAATCACTTTAACTTTAATTTATCTTCTGACCCTTAAAGACAATATTATACACATCCTCGTCTAGTTTAGTCCAAATCAGGAATGGGCAGCTGATGGCTCACCAATGAAACTCCGTCCCAAACAATGAAAACATTTTATTTTCTTATGTTTTCTACTTTAAAAAACACTCAAAGCAGCTTTTAGATGAAATTTTGAAAAATAAGATAAAGGTACAAAATTGCACTGAATTGGTTGTRATGACAAAGTTTGCCACTAGATGGCGCCTCCCACACAGACGCCACCTCGTGCACACATCTTTAACTGTGAGGAAGAGACGATTAGCCAAGTCTGAACTGATAAAYTCTCATGTTTTCAGAAGTAAACTGTTCGTAGAATCTCAAGACTCACTTGTGTTCAAGATKTAACATACAGTAAGTCTCCACTACATTCTAGTCTAACTACATGTTGCACAAAGCTAAATATGAGACATTTACTGTAGTCACAAGAACAGACTTTTTACCAGCACCACACGAGCCTGACCTCAAGGTGTCTCATGTTGTTACTCTTCAGCTTGTTAAAGTAAAAGTTTAGTTTTGTTTGCTTCAAAAGTTTTATATTTTTATTAAACAAGTTCCAGTTTATTTGCCATTTGCAGCAGAAAAAAAACTACATTGGAAAAACAGTTGCATAGAAACATACTTAAAGAAAAGTCTGCTTAWAAAAACGTCCTCCAAGCGTTTTCTGTTTAAACTTTTCCTGTCTTTGCTGGTGAGATTTCCAAACCACACTGTGATAGAGCTAATAAGAAGACTTTCAACTGCACAGTGATAAAAACTTAAAAGTTTATGTYTGTTCACAGTGAACTCAACTAAAGAAGAATCTGTCCAGCCTTTTTGACAATAATATTGGTGTTTAAATGCCAACTCAAATCTTTTGAAAGGATCACTCCTTAAAACTTACCCCATCAACCCTCTGCTCCTTGTTGCTTTTTATAATAATGGGCAGATGAACTTTGTTCTTGCAAAAGTCAACAATCAGTTCATTTGTTTTAGAAGYGTTCAGAAACAAATAGTTTTGTTCACTCCACTGAACAACATGTTCTACCTCAGTCTGAGGTAGAACCTGAGGTCCTGTAAGAGTCGTTTTTAGAGTTCACCAAACCAATACAGTATCATCTGCATATTTGATGATCATATTATTGAGATGGACAAGAGTACAACTGTTATASATGCATTTGAGTATTAAATATTAAGTTACTGCAGTATGTTGCTTTAATGAACACATAATGTGCRGTGCTGGTACTCTGGTAGAGTCACACAAAACTGTGGCCCCTGATCCAGGTGGTGTTGTTTGTTTATGACGTGTGCTGTTTGTTCCCAGGTCCCCACTGAAACCAGATCTCGGTCTTAACAGGGTTTTAAATCTGATTACATAAAATAAAATGAAATGAAATGATGTGCTTTCTAGAGTCCCGGTGTTCTGTCCAAGTGGCATACCCTGTCAGTTTAAGTTACTTTGTCGGAACAACATACGTTCTTACAGCTAAGCCTATTTGTTATATAAAACACACTTTATATATATTCTAACCCAGGTCACTTTATCTAAAGTTAACCTTAGTGGGTTTAAGCCTCACTCTCCACTTAATAAAAATAAATATACAAAACTTACCGCTTGTACTTGGAGTTATGATGGAATGATGGGGATTTGACACATGCACAATGATGTGGATTTAGTTGCAGCGCAGGCATTTTGCTTGAAGGTATGCTATTCTGTCGGAACACCAGTATAGTTTGTTTGGTCTAGGTGTAGTTCTATGGTCTAGGTGTAGTGTCTTTGGTCCATGTGTAATTTCTTTGTTCTAGGTGTGGATTCTATGGTCTAGGTGTAGTTCTATGGTCCAGGTGTAGTTCTATGGTCCAGGTGTAGTTCTATGGTCCAGGTGTAGTTTCTATGGTCCAGGTGTAGTTTCTATGGTCCAGGTGTAGTTTCTATGGTCTAGGTGTAGTTCTATGGTCTAGGTGGGGATTCTATGGTCCAGGTGTAGTTTCTATGGTCTAGGTGTAGTTTCTTTGGTCTAGGTGGGGATTCTTTGGTCTAGGTGTAGTTTCTTTGGTCTAGGTGT